GAACACAAACCCTTTTTCTTACCTATCTATGCATCTTATTTTCCATGTGCAGCCGAGGACTGGGGGCAGAGGGCACTGTTTTCTGATTATATAACAATCATTCTTCCCATGACTAACTGGATGCAGATTGACTAAACATCTCCAAACATAAAATGTTTATATCCACATGTTAACTTTTGTAGTCCTTTTTTTTTGTACCGGGAATTGAACTCGGGACCTTGTGCTTGTAAGGCACATTGGTGGAACTACTGAGCTAAATCCCACCTCCGGACATAAACTTTTAATATTCATGATACAGCTTTCTTTTTGGTGCCAGGGATCGAACCTGGGCCCTTGTGCTTGCGAGGCAGGCGGCAGAACCACTGAGCCAAGTCCCCGACCCTCTTCGTGATACAGCTTTTTGAAAATTGAAGGATAGAAATAAGGAGCTAACACTGTGTGTGTGTGTGTGTGTGTGTGTGTGTGTGTGTGTGTGTGTGTGTGTGCCATCCTTCCTTGGCACCCTGCTGGGCAGTGGTTGACCAGCTGTTCCTTTGTGCTAGAGTGGCCTTGGTGAGTGTTCCTGCCCAGGGACGCCATTATGCTTTCTCCCATTCATGTGACAAGAGTCGTCCTCCTGGGCGACAAGGACATTGAAAGCATCAGAGTGAAGTAGGGCTTCTCTGACTCTCTGACATCTTTAGTCCTTCTTGTCTCAGTTCTGGAAAAGACTTTAGAGACCCCTTAGAGCTGTGGTTCTCAGTGTGGTTAGCAGGCACCAGAATTACCTGGGGGCCTCGGCAAACATGGGTTGCTGGGCTTCTTCCGGGATCCCAGCTTCTGACCCAGTCACCTGTGAGGTGCCTGAGGGTGCCCTGGGTGCTGCTGGTCCAGGGCCCACACTTTGAGAACCAGAGTTTTAGCTCACTCTCCTCAGAGCCCTGACCATGTTCTGCAGATCCATAAGGCACAGAAATGCACAGCAGGTGGAATGAGATGAACCAGCCTACCTGGGCTCAAGTTCCCAGCAAGGAAAACTTATGGTAACGCTCCGTGCCTCAGTTTCCCCAGTGGAAGCAGGCTGATGAGACATTGGGTGGCTCAGTGAGCAAATGTCTGCAAAGCTCTCAGAGTGATGCCTGCTTCACTGTTAGGACTGGATGAAAGTAGCATATTGTTATTTGGGTTTTGTCGGAAGGAAAGGGGAATTGAGGGAGTGAAAATTAGCCCGCAGTGGCAGGATGCACATGTGAGCCTAGGGTCTTTTCTCTTCACTCCTGCATTGCCCCGTGACACCCCACACCTCTTCTAGTCTTTTGGTTATGCAGCTACTTGAACCAGCCCTGAGGAAGTGAATTATTTAACCCGGAAGAACATGGATGATGGTTGAACATCCAATCTAGTCTTCCCTCGATACTTTGGGGAGAAAGGATGGAGGTACAGGTCTGGTGGCAGAGACAGTGCAGGGTGGGCTGGTCCCAGCCCAGCTCTTAAATCCTGGCTGTGTCCTAGCCTCTGTTTCCTCATGTAACAATAATACCAGCCCCGATTTCTGCGGGAGGATTGAATTTGACAACACTGGCAAAGTGCAGTCCAGAGCCACCCCTCAGACTAGAGGCTGTAGCTGTCCATACTAGCACAGGGTTCTCCATTAACTGTCTTGCTGGATTAAACCAGATGCCCTCATCTCCCCAGGAGGTCTTCCACTGTATGGCCCAGCTGTCACAGCAGACGGTCTTGCTGTTTCCTTCATTGAAACTATTAAAAGTAAATGATGCCAGAAGTAACCCCCGGGTGGGCTGGCAGCTCAGTGGTTGTGCAAGGAGCGAGTGTCCCCTCCCCCATGCTACCCTTCCACCTCCTAGAGAAACTCACGGTTTCTCTCATGTCATTCCTGGTGGTGTCAACGTCACGGTCCCACAGTTGTATAGTCCTGGGTGCACAGGGAGCTCCTATATGTGGGGGCTCCCTAAGATCGTGCCACCTAGCTGCCTTCATTTATGTGAGTTCACCCCGGGATGTTCACATGGCCACAGAATTGCCAGCAATGTGTTTCTCAGAATGCATCTTCATCATCAAGAATACACAACTGTACTTTAAGTTCCTTTGGATCTCTGGACGCCATCATCATCGTCATCATTAGCATTATTTTAAGTACTAGGGATTAGAAATGGGCCTCCCTTCCAGCGAGGAACGAGTCTATCTTAGGAGAGTGAGCCAGTGGCCTTTCCGATCTTGGGGCAAGTTGTCAAGTGTGCAGGAGTGGGTAGGCAGAGAAGTAAGTGAGCTATGAGCAGGGAAAATTCTTGGGGACAAGGAGAACCTGGCCAAGGCGCTAATAGCTTGATCCAGAGGAATCCCAAACACAGGTCTGGCCATCCCCATCTGCCAACCCATACAGTCATGAAGGGACAGGTGGTGACACAAGAAAGCAGAAAGGAATCGTGTGGTGTCGTGGTGCTTGGACCTCACAGCCCTGCTGCAGGGAGGCGATCTCACACGGTAGCCATCTGAAACCATAAGTGAGCTACAAGGCACGATCAAACAGTCCAGTACAAGGTTCAAAAGTTTTACCACGGTAAAAGACACATCTCCATTCACCCTCCTCCAATCCCCAACTCCCAATACACTTTTATCATCATTCTTGCCACTGTGTGCAGAGTGATGGACGCCCTCTTTCACGAGAGTCTTTAGTTGCGTGGTGGTGGTTGTCTCGATGTCCTGAATCAATGAAAAACGTTTCTCATTCATGGTCATTTTGACTTCCAGGGAAAGGCTAGAAGTCACACAGTGCCAGATCCAGTAAGTAAGGTAGGTGAGGACATAGTGTCGTGTTTTACAAGCCTGCCTTTCCATTGGCTGGCACTCAGCAGCAGCCCTCACCATTTTTTTTTTTTTTGGTACTGGGGATCAAACTCGGGGCCTTGCACTTGCGAGGCAGGTGGCAGAACCACTGAGCTAAATCCCCGGCCCAACTCACCATATTTTTTATCACACCTCACAAAGACATTCACAGAAGAGGGCTTCCAGAACTGCTTCAGAAAGTGACAAGGATGCTGGGAGAAGTGTGTTTGAAGTGAGGAGAATGTATCTTTTACTGTGGCGCCTTTTTTAATGTTAAAAATATACATCTGCAGTATATGTCGATCACCCCTTATATATGAGCTGGAGTGGCAACCTTAGCTTGAATTCAGCTGAGCTAATGCTGAGATTGAAGATGTCAGATCCTTGTCCCAAACACTTAATACACAAAAGCACAAGTGCTTCCTGAAAAAACTATTCCTTTCAATCTCTGCTGCTCTGTTTTGCACAAATTGCAACATTCAATTTAAAAAACCCGAAAAACTACAAGGCATGTGTATAAGCCAGAAAATATTGTATGACCAACCATCAAAAGAAAAAACAGTCTGAGTTCAAGGCCAGCCTGGGCTACATAGTCAGACCCTATCTAAAAAAAAAAAAAAAAAAAGTCAACAGAAATAGATCCACAGATGACCTGGAATTGGCATACCAAAACTAAGATTTTACTCCTATTAGCATATGTGAAATATTTTTAGAAAGAAACGTGAAAACCAAATGGATGAAAATGTAAAGAATCTCAGCAGAGAAGTGAACTCGCCCCAAAATAGAGATTTACAACAACAAAAAAATATGCAATCTCAAAGTAAACAATTTAGTGAGTCAGCTTACCAGCAGACTGGACAAAATAAAGAATTGGTAAACCTGAACATATGTCCGTAGAGTCTCCCCAAATTGAAGCATAAACAGATAAAAGGGTATTTTAAAAAAAGGAAAGAGTAAGAAATATGAGACAATATCAAATGCAAATGGTCTAGCACATATGTAACTCGAGTACCACAGAGGGATAGGAGAGGTCAGAGTCAATATTTGGGAGGGATTAGCTGAGAACTTCCCCCAAACTGATGAATATTATCCATACACAGACCCAGTGACTAGACCACTGTCCCTGTCCACGCCACCTGCCCTCTGTCTCCCTCCTCTTTACTTCCGGTAGGACTGCAGAGGTGGCAGTGGTGTTCAGGATCTGGCTGGGGTTGGGGTTGAGTTCAGGTTGCTTTGGGCTCCCTCGGATGTGTTTGTGGATCATGGTGACTTCTGTGTTAAGCGGAGTTACTGCTAGCTGGTCTCGTGTAGAAACAATCTCCAGGAACGTGCTTCCTGCCCGCTATCCCAGCTCACCTGGCCTAGGGACACAATGTCGTGGTGTGTGACCTTGATCAGCTCATTTCTTTAGTCTCCTAGGGGAAGGATACTGCTTGCACCGGACATAGTGACATTAACTACCCTGACATTTTGCAGTAGTTATATGGTGTGTGTGTGTTTTTCAAGTTCACTGATAGGGTGTTTGCAGCACGCATATTACCTGGAATTTTCTTTGATGAAGCTACTTATAGAAAGATGTCGTTATAAATCTGTTCAGTCCTTCTATCATGGATATGACAATCTTATGAGGACTTTAGTGTATTTTTTAAAGCCAAGAGAGAAACCCAGATGTGATAGGAATGCAAAGAGAAAATATTCAATAAGTCGATAAGGCTGCAGTAGGAGGTGGCCTCAGGTGTACGGCCAGCCTGGGATAAATAGTGAATTCAAGGCCAGCCTAGACTACCTAGCAAGACACTGCTACAAATTAAAAAAAAAAGTCAATCAAGCATGAATATGCAAGTTAAACTGCTAGTTTGTTTGTTTTTCGGTTCTGGGGTTTGAACCCAGGGCCTGTGTTCTAAGTTCTGTCATTTGTCTTTTCAAGTCTTATGCGTCTTAGTATTTCTAATTATGATTTGTTATAATTTAGTAATCTCTATCATTTTCTTAATTCCTTTTACCTCATTACAAATATCAGATTCTGTTTTTCTCTGCATGTGTGTATATCGTTCTGCTTTTACTGCCTGTAGGAATGGTGTTATGCTCTTTTCTCTTATAGTACCTTTAGGTTAGATTTGGCTACCATCTTTTTCTGTTGTTACTTTTTTAAACAGTAAAATGAGTTTTCCTTTATTCACGGGAGTTAGGGATTCATCAAGATAGGACTTCAGCCTTCGTGGCTCTAGCATTTCCTCTTCTGCTTCTTTTTCCTTCTATTGAGTGATAAAAATACCCTCTCATGTTTTCAGAGATCTGGCTTTCTGTCCCCTTGCACCACTTTTTGCCCGAGCCCTCTCTTTTCCCTGTGCTTTTTGTTGCTCTTCTCCACCCTGTGATGTCTGCTTTGCAAGGTGGCTTCTGTGTGTGGCTCTGGGGACCCCAGGAGATCTCCGTCTCCTCTCACAGGAATCCTCATTCCACACGTGTCTTTCAGCCCTCAGTGGTTTATGCCACGGGCTCATTTTGTGAGGTTCACTGGGATACTTTGTCACTAATGTTGTTGTGGCTTTGATTTTGAAAGGCCAGTTGCTCATTTGTTTTTAAGGGCAGTTTGAGGATATAAAAATATTATGTTCCATAACCTTCCCCAAATCCTTGTCATGATCCTTCCAGGTTGGTGCCAGACAAAGCCGTATTGCTGTCGACCCCAAACTCTGACCCGGCTCCTTCACACCTTGTTTTGTCTGCTGTGGACAGCACTTTTACTCCCCCAGAAGTCAAGTGTGAAGTCCCGAGCCCTGGACCTCAGAGCGTGGCTCTGCTTGGGGACAAAGTCTCTAGGGGACCATTAGGGTTCACACCTGACTGGTGTCCTTACAGGAAGAGGAGACCAGGGTGCAGGCAGGGACAGAGAGGGACAGCCCTGTGAGGACGCAGCGGGGAGACAGCTCTCCGTGAGCCGAGGAGAGAGGCTGCAGAACGAAGCCAAGACTGCTGATGGCTTCCAGCTCCGGAACTGGGAGGGAATAAGTGTGTGCTGGTTAAACCACCTGCATGTTGTGTTTTGTTAAGGCAGTGGTAGTCAACAATCTCTGTCTGTCTGTCTGACACACGCACACACACACACACACACACACACACACACACACACACTCACAGTGCACGTGAGACCCAGGGTCTGTTCCTAGCTCACTAACCCCTAGTGGAAGACTACACGCCGGGGTCCTTGACTCAGTCTGCTACCCGGGAATATCTCCCCAGACCCCCTCCCTCTTTAAACAGTCGTTTTATGCAAAAAAAGAGGATATAATAGTTTTTATTTTACTTTATGCCATCGCTGCACAAGCAGAACCAAGAGTGATTTACCTTTTACCTGAGTCTTTAGGATTGGCTCCCATTATGGCCAAACCTGGCAGCGTTTAAATGATCCTGACTCCGGTCTGCACTGCCTCTCCCCTGGCCATCCCTCTCCTCCACCCCGAAGCTTTCTGGGGAGGGGCGCAGGGAGGAAAGAAACCAAGGGAGTTGGCTCCCTCAAGGTGCCGGGCGAGGACCTGGGATCTTTGAGGCATTGTTTCTTCACCAGTGACGCGTGGTGCCCCTTCTTAAAGGGTGGTCACGATGGTGCCAGGAGACCAGGCCGTCATTTGCTTCCTGGCACCCAAAGGCCATGAAATAAATGCTATTTTCCCCCTTCTTCTTCCAACCTACCCTGAGCTGGAAACAACAATTACGGCAGAAGAGAATTCCAGGTAAGTGAATCCGTGTGGCCGTGTGCACGAATCGGGTACGCATCCTCGCTGCTTTTCACCATCAGGGGGCCTCAGGAGTCTGAAGAGGGTTGGGGCGCAGGGCAGCTGTGGCTTTCGGAGCGTGGTTGCCCGTGGGTCGGGAGCTCCGTCCTGATGGCGACCTCCGGGACTCCAAGCTGGGGCCCACCTAGTGTTCAGTGAGAGGCGACCACGGCACACAGACGGGAAGGTGCTTGGTGGTGTCCGGGCCAAAGCCCGCGGAACTGTGTCCCTTGTCCTTCTCTGTGCATTCAGAGTCCCGGGCAGCGTCGAGCACAGGGTGAGCCGTGGCTGGCCGTGGTGCGGGCGGTGAAAGTTCCCTGGAGAAAGTCGTGAGTCCAAGACACAGGCCTCTGAGGGGGGTTCCCGACCTGCGCTGTTCCCTGTACGGCAGCCTCCCGCACCCACGGTCAGCGGTGGTCTAAAAGCAGTAATTGGGGAAACGCCAGAAACAGAAAAACTGCACCACTCTGAGCGGCTCGATGTCCCCCCGGGCCATCGGGTGTGCTGTAAGGGGACGGAGTGAGAGGCGAGGGCTCGAGGAAATAACCCGAGAGCCCACCGGACACCACCTCTGTTACAGCGCGTCGTCAGCAGTGTTCTGTACAATCGTGAGGGTTTTTGTGTTCGTCTTCCTGTGCCAGGATTACAAACTTCATCACAGGCAAGCATGTACAGGAAACAGCAGGATGCCTAGCACTCCAGACTTTTTCTTTGAGACAGGGCCTCGCTATGCAGTCCCGGCCGGTCTTGATCTCGCTCTGTGGCCCAGGCTGGCCTCGAACTTAGGACAGTCCTCCTGCCTCAGCCTCTTTGGTGCTGGGCTCACAGGCGTGCCCCCCCACACCCGGCAGTTGCCTCTTATTTCTTTGTTTTGTTTTTGGTACCGGGGACCGAACTCGGGTCCTTGTGCTTGCGAGGCAGCCGGCGGCCCCACTGAGCTAAAACCCCGGCCCTCCCTCTCTTATTTCTTTAGGAAGCAAAACAGCACAGTGCTGTAGAAACTCCCAGCGGAGGCTCCTCCCCACGCCGCTTGGTCTTCCCTGCCTCCCAGTCCGAGGTAACCATCAAATTCGGTTGTCTTGGCCTCGAACGGCATCCACAGTCTCTGAATACCCGAGTGTGAGCGCCGAGAGCCGCATGTTTCTCGCTTTCACGTCCTTGGTGTGACACCGTGTGGACTTACGCAAGGTCATTGTTTTCCTGGACTCAACGGCTGGGTCAAAGAGCAAGCACTTTTCTCCAGAGAGTGAACCAAATTCCCCTTCACATATCTGAGGAGGAGATCCCCCTTTTGCTTAGAAAGAGAGGGCTACACTTTTAAATATTTTCCGAGCTGCCATCGCTCCGTGTTTGAATTTATAGTTTCCAGTTAGTGATTGTATGGAGCATCTTTTTATGGTCCTTGCCTTTGTATGTTCTGCTCTTGTGAATGGTCTGTTGATACCATTTGTCTTTTATTGTCCTATGAGGGTTTTCCTAATTGATTCTCAGGAGTTCTTTATGTATTTCAGATGAGAGCTCCATTTTTCAGTTATATATTCTACAAGTTATCTTCTCTGATTTTGTGGGTTATCTTTTTTTTTTTTTATTAGTACTGGGGATCAAACTCAGGACCTTGCGCTTGTGAGGCAGGTGGCAGAACCACTGAGCTAAATCCCTGGCCCTATCTTTTTTTTAAAGAAAAAATTTAAAATTGAATTGTGTAAGGGCCAGGGATATAGCTCAGTGGCACTGTCCCTGCCTGGCAAGTGCAAAGTCCTGAGTTCGATTTCTGACAGTGAAAAAAATTGAATTGTATAACACGTACACAAAATGCACAGATCCTGAGTGTAGAACTCAGTGAATTTCTGCAAAGTGAAAACATCCGTGTAATCATTCACATACTTGCTTGAATAATTAAACCCTAACTGGCTCCCGCCCTTGCCCATTCTAAGACGGGTCAGAGCCCTGAGGTGAGCTCTAGGCTGAGTCCTTGTATTGAACTTTAGGCAAATGAAATTGTACAGCGTGGACTCTTTGTTTCTGGTTTCTTTCAATCAACATCAAGTTTGTGAGATTCAGTTACAATATTGCAACGTGGAAGTCACGTTATTTCCCTTTGCTATTTGGGATTTCATCGCCTACATGTACCAGTTCCATGAATTTGCTTTCATATATTTGTATGTGACTCTGGGATTTCTTCTGTTTCATTCTGTTCTTTTGCTGACTGGTTTTATAGTAAATCTTGAGATGAGGGAGTGTATATGTTCCTATTTTGTTCCTATTCAGCAATGTCTGTTGTTCTAGGTCTTTTGCTTTCTGTGTAAGCTTTAGAATCAGCTTTTCAATATCTGTAAAGTAGATTTATGGTAATATTTCTTACTCTATTGAGATCATTGATTTTTTTTTTTCGGTCAGCATTTTGCAGTTTTCCAGATACATACCTTGTACTATTTTGTTGGACTTGTGTCTAGGTCTTTATTTTTTGGTGCTATTCTAAACTGCATGCAAATATTTAAATTCTAACAAATGGTTTGTGGTAATTGGAGGTATGAAGGAACCAGATCAGAGGGATGTCTGGTCTTTTCTTCATTCTACACATCCAGAGCCTGGACCAGAACCCCAGTCTGCCACATCATCTGGGACTCCACTCCTGCCCCTTCTTTCTCTCCCATGGTCCCGTTTGGATCCACTTCTCGGTGTGGATCCCGAGATCCACACTTCCTCTGCTCTCAGAGGAATCTCAGAGTGCGGCGTGAGAAGTGGGCCAGCCTCGGAGGGTAAGTAGCAGCTTGCACCCTCGTCCTGCTCCTGACTCTCCCTGCAGAGCTGTTAGCCCACGTTGGCCCTGTGTCCTTCCTTCTACTTCTGGGTTCTCAGAGTACATCCCATCCCCCAGTGCCGTGGTGTTGCTGGCGCTCGAAGGTTTGGGACCTTCTGGCCTGGACCCCATGGTGAAATGGGGAGTCCTCAGGGACGTTGGCCACATGGCAGAGGGGACTGTCCACTTCCCCCAGAGGAGCACCCTTGGAGACCAGGACGCTGCCTCTTATTTCCTTAGATTATCTGTCTTTTCTAACCTACCCTGTGTAATCTTTTTGGGGCTGAATTAGCCAATATGACATCAACTTTGGGGAAGAAATGACAACTTTCAGCCGTGCCTGAAAGATCCATCTCGGGTGGTGCTAGGCAACCAAGAATCGCCAATGGAATAATTGGAAATGGCCGTGTGGAATTCCCTTGGACTTAATAAAGGCTGACATTCTTAATTTGGGGTGACAGATGAGATTGACAGGAATTTTGACAGTCAGGTTTACTAGAAACATGTTCCTAATCTGGATATTTTATAGGTAAGTTGTTGCCATTCAGGCATTCAAAGCTTCCAGAAATTTCTGTGAGTGAACAGGAGTAGACTCATGGAATCTCAGTTTTAGCTGTCTGAGGGGTCTGAGGGTACCTGTTGAGAACACTCCAGGAGGCTGCCCAGTCAAACTCTGGGATGGAAACTCATTGGCTCTGTGACCTGGGGCAGGTGCCTGGTATATTCTGGGCCTCAGTTTCCTCATCTTTGAGATGGGGATAATTAAACCCAACTCCGTGGGTGTTGTGGGGGCCCCATGGACTGATGATGCAAAGACTTAGCAGAGTGGCTGGCGTCAGGGGGTGCAGTGCCTGCCATTTTCCTCAGTGTACCTGGAACCTTCCAGCAGAACTTCCTGTGCTAACCAGGATCATGTGACTGTGCGGCTTTGTGGTCATGTGACCAGCCTGGCTGTTGTTTCCTTTGCAAGATGGGTGGGAAAAAGACTGGAGACTCCAGGCTAGGGAGAATGTGCTGGCTCTAAGCAGAAGCCTAGTGGAGAATGATATTGAAGCTGGGAAAGGGTAGAGGTTGGAGTGCGGGATTGGCCTTCTCCTTCTCACACTCCAGGAGCCCAAACCTCACAACAACAACAAAACCCAAACAAACAAGCAGCAAAGCGAAGCTGCCTTTGATCCTGGAGGTGGCAGGTGGTGCCGAGCTGCTGGGTCCTCATTCTGGGCAGCACCAGGGAGTCCGTAGCCTGCAGTGCCCACCGAAGGATGGTATGAATCGGTGTCACGTGGGTGCCAAGTATAGAAAGTGGGGGCTGTCAGTGGGCCCCGGAGATAGACTGTGGGCCTCAGCTCATTGGGTCCCTTCTGGTCCTTTCTGTGGGTCTCTCTGCTGTGGTTCTCTTGGGTACCAATTCCAGGGAGGCAGCGTGGGTTTTCCCAGGGCCCTGACGTGGAATGTAATGGGTGACAGCATTTCACGCAGGCTCCGTGTTCTGGTCTAGGCACTTAGCTGAGCTTCTGCTCATGGTATCTCAAACTTCCCATCATCCCGGAGAAAGTTTGCACGGGAGACCTTCTGGCAGGGAGGCTGAGGCTCGGGGAGGCTGGGGATGTGCCCGAAGACACACCGGAGCAAGAGGGAGAGCCTGCCACCTCCCAAGCCCTGAATGTGTGCATGGACAGCTGGGCTGCCGCTCATCTCAGGGCTTCTCCTCAGGCGGCTCCCCAGGAGCTCTGTGTGTAACACAGGAGGCCCAGCCCACAGGCCGTTCTGCCCTGGTGAGCCCCGCCCGGCCCCGTGACCGGCTCAGGGTCCTGTCCAGGTTCTTAAATAAATAACTGAGCAGGACACCCGCGAGTAGCAGCAGGGTCAGTGATTTGCTTTATTTTTATTAGTGCATATGTGTTTGTGGTACACGATGCTGCCATCATGTTCCACCACGAACCGGTGCAAGTACACGACACCTCTCAATGCTTTTCTTCTCCTCCCCTCCTGCCTTTTTTT